GACAAACAAGTCAAAAATTATTTTCTCAAACTATGTTGTTTGTTTTGCATTAGATTGTCCTTTTTCTGCTCTTTTTGCTTGTAAAACTGTTGTATATGATTGCATTTTGGGGAGGAGGAGTCAAAAGCCAGTTTTTAGGTTTGCTTGCTCGCTTCAAGTCAACCACACAGAAGCTGCGCAGGGCCGCATTGCGCAAATAAGGAAGTGCATTATGCGGAAGTAACTTCTTGTTTTTGTTGTATCAGGGCAGAGACTCACATGGCTTTAAACCTAACTGGACGTTGTTAGTTCTACCCCAGTAGACAGTATTGTTTTTTCACCCCTGAAGATTAAGAAGATTTAAACAGTAGCAGGTGTCCTTAAACCCACCGCGCCCTCCTCAGGTTTGTTTGGTTGTCGCTTTGAAATCGGAGACGTGTCGATTTGCACCTCCTTCTGTTCTGTCACCATTCATTATTAAGCACATCTCTCTCTCTGTGGCCGCTGTACCGACTTCTCAGCTGCTTTCTGTCAGCTTTCACGGCTCAGACTTCTTTTTTTTCTTCCATTATGTGTCATGTGCAGCTGAGAACACTGATTTTTGTAGCCTGGGTGCTGGGCTACGTGGCCTTCCTGCTCTCCTTCAAGAGGATGTGGACAGGGAAACACATCCGAAGTCCGCTGGTCCGCTCTCTCTTTATGAGTATGGTGACCGAGGGTGAGGCGGGAATAGCTGACCAGCTGGAGGTAAGGATGTGAATACATGGCTGGGGTGGGAGCTTCACACTGTCGTGAAAAAGATTTTTGCCATGCTGTCACACCAATTTTATGTACCAAAGCGCCTTCTATATGAGTCATTAATGCGCTCTAGTGTTGGTAACACCCGCCACTCCCGAGAATGGTTCCACCTTTCTCCATGTTTTCCCAAATGTAAGAGATGGTGGTTCTCATACATCCTCAGTCCTTATAAATAACTTTGCTTTCCAGACTGATGGATGTCAATGGCTTTGTTTCTCAGTTTTTCGTAGATAAGTGCATTATATGTTAAGCCCTGACTACTTCTTTTCGTCATTTAAGCTCTATCCATATGACTTGTTGATTGTACTGTAAAAAACAAAAGGACATATTTTTTCCCTTAGTTACAATTTCGATTACCTTTTCCCATAAGTGGATAAAATCGGCATTAGAAACTGTTTTATGTATTTACTCAGGTTAGCTTTGTCAAATACTAAAGTAAGTTTGATGTTCTGAAACCGTTTTAGTAGTCAACCAAAAACATCTCTCAGGGGTCAGGTAGTTTGGTCAAATAAAACCTGGTGTAGCATGACAAATTCTTTACTTGTTTAACCCATTGTTACTTTTAAAATTTCAAATCAAACAGAGTACAGTTATTACCAATACAGAGCTAGAAGCTGGAAAGAAGTAAAAACCATTTTATAAAATCCAAACATAGGCAAATCAAATGCAGAAAAGGAAACCTCTACATCGTTTATGGCAAATTATAAACAAGATGTCTTGGATCTCTACACACACATTATCCATTTTTAAATTCTGACTATGTAATGTGGAAAACTATTTTCGCCATTAGCTATATCAAAACAGTTGAAGTCATTTGTTGTTGCCTTGTTTTCTTCTACTTTGCCCTGCCCGCGTTTAGTGGTACCGGTGCTGTCCGGACCTGCTGGGAGAATCGGTGCGCCCCCTGTTCGTCCAGAGCCACATGGACACTGACACCAAGGCGTTTCTCAAGCACAGCCAGGAGAAGTCCGGCTGGCTTTTCACACAGCTCTATCACTCTCTGGTATCAACTGTCCTCAGTCCCATGGTGTCGCGCACCTCCATCAACGGGTGAGTGTTACCGGCTGTCTTGCGTTTCAAACCGAGGCCTTCCGTCTCTCTGATCTGTCGCCCGCCTCAGCTTTCTGGGCCGGGGCTCCATGTTCGTCTTTTCCGCCGATCAGTTCCAGCAGTTGCTACGGATCGGCCCGGACTGGGAGGCCGACAGGCTGCTGGATCTCGGAGCCGGGGACGGAGGAGTCACGGAGGTCATGGGAGTCCACTTCAAGCAGGTCTACGCTACTGAGGTCTCGCCACCAATGAAGTGGCATCTCCAGAGGAGGAATTACACGTGAGTGGGGGGAAAAATGGTTCACTTACTGGGATGAGAGACGCAAGTTTTGAAATGTTTTTGAGCCTGTTTAAGTCATTAAAACGCAGTCATATTTGTGGGATCAGTAATTTCAAAAATGATCTACTGTTTTCATGCACCTCAGGTCAGTTGACTCTTTAGCCAGTTTGTATGTATGCATTGCCATTTTGTCCCCTCCTACTTCTGTTTCAGTTTTTTGTATTATTGTTGTTGTGGTTAAGCATTTTTATGATTTATGGTGTTAAATATCCTTAAAAATGCCAAGATTTGCTGTTTTATTTCATTCAACTTTTATTATGACCCAAAAGCGTTTTGCTACTCTGTTTCCAATTTTGTTCTCATTCCCATTTTTCTCTGTTTTACTCCCAGAAAAATGGAAAATTATGATCCCAGCTCAAACATGGTACGTGACCTGGGTATGAAATGTACCCAAGGTGCGTTAAGCTGAATAACGATCGGTACCAAACGCTCCCCAGTCGACGGCACCATTTTTTAGGATGAGTCGATTAAAACTGTAGCGATATGGAAGGGGTTGCTAATGGTTGCTCCAATTTTTGTGAATTTTCTGTTTGTGTGCATTAACTGCATTTTGTTTCTTGCATTTGACAAGTCTTAATTTACAGCAATTTCCCTTCAAGTTACCCTCCATAAGATAATATTATTAAAAAATGGCATTGTGGATAGTCATATTCAACTAATTTTGGAACCCGTGAAAGAGTAGATCCTATTTATTATGTTCTGAAAAAGAGGATGTAATTTTTTTTTTCAGCATGTCATTAATTCAATCCCAATGAAATAGTTATTTTCAGTTAGAGAGTGACAGTAGGGTTTATGTGTCCTTCTGTTGTGCATAGGCTGCTGGGTATAGATGAGTGGCAGCACACTGGTTTCCAGTATGACGTAATCAGCTGCCTGAACCTGCTGGACCGCTGTGACGACCCTCTGCATCTCCTGCGGGACATCAGGAGCTCCCTGGTCCCCAAGACAGGAAGACTCGTCTTGGCTGCTGTGCTTCCCTTCCAACCTTACATTGAAGTCGGTCAGTGGGGAAACAACAAAGTTATGGTTTTGATTTGATTTTCAATCTAAATAAAATAAAAGTACTTTTTTTTTTCTCCTCATCTCCTAGGAGGGAAGTGGGAGCGTCCAAAAGAGCACCTTAAAATCGTGGGAAAGACGTGGGAGGAGCAAGTCACAAATCTGTGCAGTGAGGTTTTCAAGCGGGCAGGTTTTGAGTTGGAGGCCGTGACCCGACTGCCGTACCTCTGCGAAGGCGACATGTATAATGACTACTATGTACTGGATGATGCGGTTTTTGTTCTCAAGGCATCAGAGGACGCTGGAGATTCTCCTCAGTGAGAATGGAACTGATTGTCGGGGTGGAGGATGCGCTCCAAATGTTTTAGGGGTTCTTTTTTTTCTTCATGGGTGTTAGTGCAATGTAAAACGTGTCGTTCTTGCAAGTCATCCGTTTCCGACTTGGGTGGAAATGGGGAGTCGCACGTGAAGCTCAGGTGCTGCGGTCTAGAACTTTTGGATCCAGAGATACCTCAACTATTTAAGCAATAAAGGAAAAAAAAAAAAAAGAGAGAGAGGCTGTTGGGACAGCCACTAAAGATTTAGTTCGTCTAACACATCATCACCGTGCTGTAAGTGTTAATCTGTAAAGTCTTGTACTTGTGTTTTGTGTTGAGATTTAAATGTTGACAGTGAAGACAAACATGTTGTTATTTTAATTTGGTTACTTTTAGTACATTACAACAGCTGTAAATACTAAAGGAAAAAGTAGAATATTCCTTACATTTCCTGGTTACTGAGTAAAAGTTCAGCAAAATGTGAACTTATAACACTGCCTTTTGTGCTTTCTATCAAATTTATTAGTAAATGCTCTCAAATTTGCTCACTAACCTGTAAATCTGACATGCATAGGAGTGAACCTACGAAAACGGAGGCGGGCTGAATCATTTTAGGGCCCGGGGCAAAATTAAAGACAAGAACCCACCTTTTTTTTTTATACCATTCAGTTTTCTGATACTTTTTCGTTGTCTAAGAACTACTTGCAGTTTCCCGCTGTTTTTACTGCTGCGAGCGGTTTAGTATTGTATAATTGTTTCAGACTCAGTAAGATCTTGATTAATTTTATCTGTATCTGTGGATGTTGCCTTCTGGGACAAAATGCTTTTAGCAGTTGATTTTTATTTTTTTCTTGCTCATGGCTGGAATCGGTAACTTAGATTTCTGCAGTGTTAATTTTAAATGGGCCACTTGGTCTTGAAAGATTTAATGTCATATTACGCACATAGAGGAAGGTGAAGTAGCCATTATGGTCTCTGTGTTACATTGACTGTAAATGGGGGGAAACACTAAGATTAGAGAAATGCCTACACTTGGCACAAATTGCAAGCTGTGCTGATTTAAGAAAAAAAGAACTTTGCAAAATATTTATACAAGGTTTTCTGGAAGTACAGCTGACAAAATTACAGCTTTTAGGCCTGGTGGCTAAAATCAGGTTATATGTTGAACAAGAGCAAAAATGTAAAGTTCTAATGGCACCTTAGAGCTATTTAACACTTTTTTCTGACGTGTTCATTTTGGAGGTTTTTCTACAAATATGTTAAGTCTAGCTCTGACATATGTCATCGGTTGGTTTTGAATTTAATAATGTGGAATCTATTGTTTTTATTGTGTTTTTGTCCCCAACCATTTGACCATAAAATAAGGTTTGTGTTCCAGTTGATGGTGCCAAATGACAATTCAGAAATGTGCCATGATGTTTTTATGAGTAAAAGTTGTGTTCCTGAATAAAAACTAACAATTTTTAGATGTTTTGTGTTTTGTTTTTTTGTTGTTTTGTTTTCATCCAGTGCCATTAAAGGACATTATATTCAAATCAGACAATTTTTAGTTTGTGGTAAAGCTTCCAAGTGAGTATTTTTGCCAAAAAAAAGGTGATCTACTATCAAACCAAGAAGTTTTTATAAAGACAATTTAATTAAAAAATAATAATAATTTAGCAAAGTATGAAGCTCCAGTTTTTCTTATGACATATCACATTGATTTTGTGATTGTTGTGCAGACTCGTCAGGTGCATACTAACGAATGTACTCGGTAATATACATTGAAACGTATGATTTACTTTAAATATGTCAAGAAAATATGAGAAACGTATCTAAAATAGTCTAAGCCACATAAATTGTCACTATCAAAACTTTTGCACATGATGGCCGATTTTACTACAGCTCTCACTGGTATCTCCTGATAACTTCAACACGTATCCTAATGACACGTCAAATATATCCTCCATACAGTTCAGCTGAATGTGCTGTCATCTTGAAATTATCAACTAGTACGAACCAATAAAGGAAAACTCGGAGCTTTTCTTCTGAAACGGAAGGCAGGCTTCGCTTGACATAAATTATGTAAATGAGGCAGTGCGCCTTTTTGATTGGCTAATGTTCGTTCGTTTCTCGCTTGTCATTGGATGCTGCTATGTTGGCCACGTCTCCCAGCCACGTCGCTCTCCACTCGCCATTTTCCCCGTTCCCCCCGAGCTAAATACCGTAGTTTTTTTCTGGCGTCGCATTTGTGTTCAGCTTTACAGTTGGGCTGGGTGGAAAAGGGAGTGTTACCGGAGAGGAACGGAATTCACCGAAGAGCTTTGAGATAGGTTGGTGACTGAGGGGGCTTCCTCAAACATGAACATTTTCAGGCTAACCGGCGACTTGTCCCACCTAGCAGCCATCATCATTTTGTTGCTAAAAATATGGAAAAGCAGGTCCTGTGCCGGTGAGTACATCCCTTCATTCTTTCTTTCTTTCATACAAAACTCTGTTTTAAAAATGTCAGTTCAAAACGTAAGTATTGATCTCGGTTTCCTAGTTGAACCTCACTTATTAGCTCCAAGCTAACGTTAGCTATAACTTGCTAGTAGTACCCTGTGTAGTAAAGCTACCATTTCTGTCAGAAAATATGACGTTTCATACCCACACTGCTACTACGAAGAACAATGCGACGCTGCAATGGACGCCTGCAGGTGGCTTTAGTGGCGACCGGATTCTTAAGTGTTGTTAGCTGACCGTGCATAGTTTGCTCTTAGTTTGACATGTTGGGCCCTTCAAAATTTCTATTTTTCACCTACAATGAGTTACTTCCACGTTTTTACTGCTTCTTCCACCACAGTTCGGTTTGTGTGATCTGTGACGTGGCAGTGGCCCATCCAGAAGTTAACAGTCACATTGTCCACACTTTGGCTGTGTCCTGGAGAGATGCAGGAGGCAGTTTGCTGTGTTTTCAGTTATTTTTTTCTTCTCTTTTGTTTGGATCAAAGGTTACAGCTGTGCATCAGTCAGCTCCCTGAGTTATCACTGCTGCTTACAGGAGATTGAGTCACACCGTTAGCTCTCCCTGTCGTGTCGAACCTCCAGAGACCCGTTTCAGTATCGGTATCCCCGTCCTGCGAGCTGACTATTAAAACAAAACTAGTGCACAGGGATACATCCAAGTACTTTCTGAGATGTATGCAAGCACATTATAGGCACTCCCCTGGAGGTTTTGCATGGACACACAGTTGCTAAATACAGAAAATGCCGACTAGAAACAATTGTTCCGCCATTGTTTTGGCGCCCCCTCTAGCGTGGCGCCCCTAGGAGTGCATACCCAGTTTTTGCCTCACTAATAATGCATCACAGTTGAGTTCTGATTAGTTAGTATTATTGTAAAGATACTCTACGAGTGTTGGCACTAATCTGTTGATTAGACAGTTATACTTTTAAATCAATAATTTCCCAAAACACAAGTTTTTAAGAGTTTTGTCAAAAATGATTAAAAGTACTGTACACTTATTTTATTTTCTTGGATCCAGAGTTGGAAGTGTCTCCACTTCACTGCTCTCATGTTCTTGTATTAATTGTGTATCCTGATGGTCAGGTATTAAAAATAACTCGTGTCTGAGTTAAAATTAAATGTGTGATTTTTAGAGGCTTTTATTTCCATTCATTCGAATGGAAATTGCCTCTCTCTGATAGATATTAATAATTTAAGTCATGTGAACATGACGAGCATGATACAACTAGACCAACCCACATACCTTTTTACCCGATTACCTGATCAAGGACGGTATAAATCAGTGAAGATCATATTGCCCATATTATGATCATATTACCTTCCATAACAATTATGGAGGGTAATTTGTTGACAAGAAAACTGTTAGTCACACACAACACTAATAAAAATCACTTGATACTGATGGTTTGGCAGTAAAAGTCTGTGCCAGACTGCAGCAGCATTCCTCCTACCTGATCCTGTGAGAAGAATGCACTCTTTAACTTCCTGTTTCTGCCATCTGCTGTCTCCTTGCAGGTATTTCTGGAAAGAGTCAGGTCCTGTTTGCCTTGGTGTTCACCACTCGCTACCTGGACCTGCTTACGTCCTTCATCTCCCTCTACAACACCACAATGAAGGTAAATCGCATTGCGATGAGCGTTTCCCGCAAGGAAACGTGAGCACACATTGCTGAGGTGGAGCTTACCCTTGAACTAACACGCTTGTGTTTGCTGAAGGATGAGCCGCATCCTCCTACCCTGATTCTGTTTGAGTTAAGCTAGCGTGCTTGTTTTCGTCCTATAGATTATCTACATTGGATGCGCTTATGCCACCGTCTACCTGATCTACATGAAGTTCAAGGCGACCTATGACGGGAACCATGACACGTTCAGAGTGGAGTTCCTGGTGGTCCCAGTGGGCGGGCTGGCTTTCTTGGTCAATCATGACTTCTCCCCTCTGGAGGTCAGTAATCTACACCAATTTTAAAGCAGATCTTTTAGCCAGTTCAGTCGAAAACATGCCGGAATTGTTTATCCCGCAGATCCTGTGGACATTTTCCATCTACTTGGAGTCTGTGGCCATCCTCCCGCAGCTCTTCATGATCAGCAAAACGGGAGAGGCTGAGACCATCACCACCCACTACCTGTTTTTTCTAGGACTCTACAGGGCCCTCTACCTCATCAACTGGATATGGAGGTTCTACTTTGAAGGATTCTTTGATATGATCGCCATTGTGGCAGGAGTGGTGCAGACCATCCTATACTGCGATTTCTTCTATTTGTATGTAACAAAAGGTGAGAGCTTTACATTTTTTTTAAACTCATTTAATTTTTACAAAGAAGGTGTAACCTTTTCTAAAGCATTTAGGTGATAAATGTTGTGAAACATGTATCTTGTGTGGTCTTATGTAGCCAGTTTCTCCTCGGTCACAAAGCACAGAACCTTGCTCTGTTTGTAAAGGTCGGGCTTCTCGTGTGACCAAACTCGCTGTTGGGAGTGTTTCAGGTTGCAAAGGAACATTTGTGACAACCACATACTGAAATAGAGAGTCCATCCCATTAGGGCAGGTAGAGGCTGGGTCAGACTTTAGAAAGGGCTTACAAGGGGGACCCCAAAGATTTATTTTTTATTTTTTAAACAAATGCTTGCTTTGAATTGTTCTTTATATAAAACGTATAGGCCCATATCAGATGAATTATATTAATATTTTGGGATTTTTATTAATATAAATAATATCTAAGCATTTTAAAATACAAAGTTATAGTTATTTTTTAAAAACAACATGGAGCTACTGCTCAGGGGTTCGCATTCAACCTACCATGCATCAATTCATGTATAGGTCTATCTATTAATGTATTGTAATTTGCTTTAGTAGAATATTTTTTTCTGTTGTGGGTATAGCACCAAACTGGCTGCAGCCCAGGGGCCCAAATCCTTGTAAATCCGGCCCTGGATAGAAGTATTAAAGTTGGAACAATGGAGACAACAAGGCTGGAGATGGAGGAATTTTCAGACTTTGGGATTTGAAGGATAAGCTGTTGACATTTTTATGCTGAATACCACATGGCACCTTTATGTGTACAAGAGTTGGCAATAATTGAGATGCATATTAGCTTTATGATAGTAAAAAAAAACAAATGTCCACTCTACCGCCACTACACAACTCCTCTATTCTCTTTTATCCACACACTGCTCAGCCTGGGCTTTATGATTAGTTTCTAATCGTGTCCATTTTGGACCTTATTGATGGAAAAATGTGGTTGCTCAAATATTTTTATTTTTCAGTATAGAGTTTTAAAAAGGAAGTCAGAGGAAGCGCAACAGGTGTGAGCAGCTATTTGACAGGAAGTTACTTTCTGTGTGTTAGCTGTTCATTTGGACTGCAGAAGAAAACAGGCTAAATGAACTGGTGTTATCGTACCCATTTTGCAATGTACCCATTTGCTTAAATTGTCATGTTGAAATATTTTCTCTTTGATTTAAAATGGTAAACCCTTGCTCTAAAGTAATTTCAACTGTCGTAAGGTTATTCTTTGGGCACTTTATGTCACTTTATGGATTTTGTGTCCTTGTATTTGCTCTCATGTCAGACCGTCTTGCTGTGTCTTATTGCTGTTTCTGCTCTGCCTGGTTTCAGTACTCAAAGGAAAGAAGCTGAGTCTGCCAGCCTAAGTGCCAAAGAGAAGCGAATTGGCAAATTGGGAGCGATCGGAGGGGAACAGGAACAGCAGTGGACACCTTTTGCAAAATATCCCAAAAAAAAAAAAAAAGAGAATTACAATGGAATCACGTCCCTTCCTCCTCCACCACGGTCTTCCCCTCCAACCAGCGTAAGATGCCTGAGACAGAGCAACTCTGGAGCTGCCGACTGATCCAGAACCGGTGGATTCGGAACGCCTGCATTCGGATTTCTGTTTGATGCATCTTGCCTTAACTTTTTTTTATTGCTCTGTATAAAGGCAGCAAAACACTGCAGGTTTTCTACATAAAAAAAGGAGGATCATTGGCATGTAACGGTTGAAGATGCCTGAGATTTGGCAGTGTATAATATTAGAGTTGGACTTCTTGTGCTGGGAGAATGTTGAGTTTGTAATATTTGCAATCAAAACAAATGTTCTTTCGTAAAAATAGGGACATTTGTTAAATCGTTTTAAAAATGACGGACAAATTATTCATGTTTCCCCCTACATTTATTTGACTATTTTACATTCCCACTTGTAAAGTTTCTTCTGGAGTAAAAATGCAATACATATACCATTCTCTATCCAAGGTTAAAAAAAAAAAAAAAAAAAAAAAAGGCAAGTTGGACACAACTCAAGTTATATTTGTTCAGGTGCCATCAGAACTGATTTTGTTTTTTCAGTGTATTTTAACTGTTCATATTTAAAGGCCTATGAAGAGTAAACTCGAAAAGCACAGGTGTAAGAAAACAAGCCAGTAAACTCATTTCTGCAAATGACTTTTTACATGAGCTCCTGCTCAGTAAGTACACATCACTTGTAATTACACATTATTGCCAAGCTTGTTCATTTCAGAAAAGATTCTTTTTAACATCTAAAATGCATAAACTGAAGCTTATGTGCTGTAGTCGAAGCCTCACTACAGAAAGTTTTCATCTTTTAGGTGCAGATGTATTTATTTTTTTTCTCGCTGATTCCAATAAACAGAGTCCGGAGAATGGTTTGTGTCCTCTATTTATTTTCCGCACGACACAGTGTATTCACTGGTATTCTTGACCATTCGTCTTTGGTGATGAGCTCCAAGCTTTAATGTTGGAAGGCCTGTTTGCCGTCACTCTTTAATTCTAAGATTCAAGTTGAAAGTCTATATATGAAATTTTGTGTTTGTGTTTTGAGAGCGCAGTTATCTTCGCCGAAACACGTTGTTTGAGCTTTCACGGTGTCCGTAGTTCTCTCGATAAGGGCGCTGAACAAGTACGCGCTTATTTTGCCGCCCTGGCGGTGTAAAGCGGCGAGGAGACACTGGGGGAACTATCTGATGGAGAGACACGAATTGATGTAACACCTGCTCTCGAGGACTGGGATTCCCTTTTCTTTGTCCATGGTGGAAAAAAAATAACACTGTTAGTACGGACTGCTCATGAGTTTAATATATTTCTAAATAAAAGCCGTCTAAACTAAAGTTAAAATTATTTAGCTGTAATTCAGTAAAAGTGAAAAATATTTTAAACAAATATCTGACACCTGTAAACTCGGAACACTGCTACCACGAACGATGCAACGCCGGAACAGAAAAGACGTCGGACAAAGCCTTTATACATGCTAAAAGGAAGTAACCGAGAACCCTTTTTATTCAGTTATGTCTGGTTTTCGTTAAACTAAGTGTTAGATCAACTGCGATATGGAAGATATTTCTCAGGAACGTTCTTCAGGTGAGTTACTGTCACTGGCTGCCTAAACACATAGTGTAGCTAGCTAACCTGGCTTAGCTGCACGCTAATGTTGGTGAGCGCTAAGCTCCACATATAAAAGGTATATCTTTTTAAAATTAACATGGAGCAAAAATAAACGTTAGTATGATTTTTCTCATATTTTTAAAACCCTTTCGGACGCTGTATTGTTACTGAAAAATCTTATTTATATCCTTTGAAATGTGCGATACAAGTTTTTCTTTTGTGCAAAGACATTAGAAAAAGTTGCCAATGTCAGAAATTGTACAGTTCTCTGTATAGGTTGAACATCATTTTAAAGGACTTTTTAATGAATATTATTTATTTGGATAAAGCCATCCAAATTTATGGAAAAATAAAGGCTAGAATAATGCATACTGGAAAATGGTATTGATTTTAATGAGAAATTACGTAATTATTAGATTGTTGTAAGCTGCAAAACGAGCCTAAATAAGTTTGACAGAGGGCATGAGGGTTTTCTGCAGATATCCTGTGTTTGACTTCACAAACATTACTGTGTACCACACTTATCCACTTTACTCTCATCTATCCAAAGGACATTATTGTTAAATTTAAATAGATGTTAGGAAGACTTATTTAATAGCCATTGGATCCCTTTCATTACTGATTGGGTGGAGATTAGATTCTTTGAAAAAAGCACAAATTACATTAATGGGCATGGAGATCAGAGTCCATCAACTAACTGCATCATTGGAGTGGTTTGGGGTTATTGTATCATTCATACTCAACAGATAAATTGGCGCATGGTTTCTGCTTGTACGAGCTTAAAAATGAGAGGAATTGCATGCTTGTTCTTAACAAAACATGAAATAAAACCAATGATCCTCCATGTTAACGTAGCATGTTTACCTTCAGGTGCGCCTTTTTCTCTCTCCGCTCTGCGTCTCCTGGTGCCACCACTACGGCTGGCCTCTGCAGCAATCTGGCAGACCGTCCAGCAGAAGGTGGTGGCTGACTACGGCATCCTGGAGGAATTTGTTTCTATGGTTACCGACACGATTCCAGAGCTGCTTACCAGTCGGCAGAGGGTCCAACTCACCCTGGGTCTGAGAGCACGGGTAAGGTGTCGTCCAGATTCAAACACTGCCTGTAGTTTTGATGTAATTAACACAGCTAAGCATAATGTCACATCTGTCATTTAGAAGTAAAAAAAAAATGTGTTGTTGTTCTTTGGGGTTCTTTCAGTTGATCTTGGATTTATGCCAGCGGGAAGCTGCTCCTGACTGCGAGCTTGTTGAACCGCATTTGAACAGGATGGAAATGCTCATCAGGTCATGGCTTGAAGAGGTGACTGAAACTCCTCTGACGTCATACTTTTGTTGAGCAACCTACATGTTTCTTGCAGTCAACTGAAATGTCCCGTCACAAATCAGGCACAGGGGTTGAAGTCCAACCATCAATAACGCATCCTTGATCCACCTTGGGAGTTGGTTGTTAAACTGAATTCTGCAAGGGCTTTTTGTCTCAATATTTAGTCTTTAATTTCTTAATCTACATAGCTCCTTTTCACTGCTTGAATGTTTATCAGTGGCTTATCTTACAGGCCGGTGGTCCAAATCCAGAGGTGTCCCACTTGGACTTTGTGGATCTGGTTAAGAAACTACTGAGAAGCCCTGATGAGAGAGAACTCTTCTTTCAGGTTAGGCTTGTTGATCCGCTTTTAGTTTGCTGTAATCATTATCATTTATCGCCTAATTCTAGGGCTGAGATAGTTTATTAAGCAACACATCAGGCTCTCAATATCTAGGATTGTGCTTAAAAATAACATCTGCCAACAGTTAAGCCACCTATAGAACCATTTTTAATTATTACTCCAGGAAAAATCTTGATATTTTTTTTGTCTGTATTTATTTATTTAATTATAAATAAAATATACTTTCTATATTTTATTCCCAGCGGGGTTTCCGTGAAGATTTTGGTGCAAAATATGACAAAGCTGTCGATGCCCTGATGTGGTTGTTTTTGTCTAGACTTGAAAACATCCTTCCTATTCAAACTTTCCATCAGGTACATGAATAAATCCCAGTTTCTGTCTTCTCTTTAAATTAACAGACATTAAAGCGTCCTTACCATTTTCTATGTACAGGTCGCATCCGTGTTCGGGGAGGTTTCATGTGTCTTGGCAGAATATGTGCAGTCTGTGACTCAGTGTGACGAGCTTAAAAACCTTCTGCAACATCACAAAGACCTCAGTCAGTTGGATCACAATGGTAAGTTACAGTAATCAGAGAACTGTGTGACTGACTTGGAAAACCTGGTGAGAATAAAACTGATGCTTTTCAATCAAATTTAAAATTCACAAAAAGCAGTATAGTTTTCCAAATGTTTCCAAGTGGCAAAAAAAAAAGTTTCTTTCTAAAGACGTCAAGGGTTAGGATAGCAATGTTAAAAGTTGACTAGAACGTGGTTAGTCTTGTTATGTCGAGCTCTTTATACGTCAAGAAATAAACACTTCACATGCAGGTCCCTTGCGCTTAGGAAGCAATATGCAGCATGCTTAGGGCTCCCAGTTGTGGAGAAGGATGCACACCTCCAAGTTGTACCCAGGGTTGGCTATGTTGGTTGCTTAAAAACGTTGGCTGCTTTTAAAGCTGCAAAAATGTAGCCCTCAAATTTTTGATGGTAACTCAGAATAGTAAGTCGTAAACACAGAGAACTAGTAATTTGTGCATCTGATTGAACAAATCCGGAGATTTCCAAACAGGAAGTGAATACCCCAGCAACACTTGACATACTGCTAAAAGAGCTTTAAAAGAGCAACTCATTTCGACCACAAGCCAAGACACTGACTGTCAGGTTTTTAATCATCTGTAAGTTGGAATAATCACAATTTCTGGAAATAAAAGCTTGAAATAATCTACTGTTTTAATGAATTTGTACAATATGAGTTTGACTTTCTTGCTAGCCTTCATAAAATGTATTGTAAGCCACTTTAGTCTTATGTAAGAAATTATCTTTTTCTTCTCTTCCAGATATTTCTCTTGATGGTTCCTGCATCATCTCTGCCCTCAAACTTCCTTCTCTAAAGTCAAGCAAGACATCTGAAAGTCAAACAGAAGTCAATATTTTGGGCTGTGTCCCATCATGCCCATCACCTATGGAAGAAGACTCTTCACCATTGCTTGAAGCATCCCAGATAAAACCTCATTCTGCTTCAGGACCTTTAACTGTTGACGCGACTAATTTGGAGAATGGAACACAGCTTTCCAAGAATGAAAATCAAACTGAGAAAAATATGAGTGACTTCTTTGAAGGTCAAGGGAAGGCTGCGTCTTGCGTCGCGAAGAAGCGTAAAGTTCCCGGGAAAAAACTTGAGAAACCAGCGATCACAGTTTCTCGACCCGTGAGGGCTAACAGGGGAATGTTGATGAAGAAGATTCTTGAGAAGGAGAAAAAGGAGCTACGGGATAAAAACCCACCGGCCAAAAACCCTGCTTCCAGGAAAACCAGACAATCCAGCAAGACTCCCGCTTCAGTGACTGATAAGGAAGAGTCTGCTCGCTCCAGCAAATTGTCTTCGCATAAGCCTCCTGCAGCCACATGCAGTGAGGATGACTCCTGGTCTTACTACTCGGAGAAGTCTTGCCAAGACGATCTCAGTAATGCAGATTCCTGGTCTTACTACTCTGACGACGATGGTTCATTTGCAACACCTGCCAGCAGTCCCGCTGAAAGTGATTCATTTTCCAGCTGCTCTAATGCAGACACTCCTGAAAATAAGTCCACTCCGTCCCCAAAAGCAAAACGGTCCAATACAAAAGCCAGCACTCCAAAAAAGACCCGGAATTTCTTGTGTTTTATTTGCAAAGAGCAGGTAAGCAAAAAGCTGCGAGCTCACATAAAAAGCCACTTTCCCAACAAAGACTACGCCTGCCCCCAGTGTGGCACCAAGTATAAACTCCTCTCTTCGCTTGAGAGACACTTGAAAAAGACCTGCTTCGAGTACCACCTCAAGAACGTGGATCCCACCAAGCCGGAAGAAACCCAGAACCTTTCCAAATGCGACAAATGTGGAGATGCATTTCAGTACAAGATTTCCTTACAAAAGCACCTGCTCACACACCATGAGCTGTACTGCAGCGTGTGTCGGACGGTGCTGCGAGACGCAGAAACATTGGCCCGCCATAAAACCGCACACACGCCGTTTCAGTGCACCCGCTGTGACCAGACCTTCACCGTTTTTAAGCACTTGGTTAGGCATTTCGAAAACACCCACGGAATTAGCAAACCCTTCAAATGCAATCACTGTCCAAAGATTTCACCTAAGCTCAATGCTTTAATCAGACATGAATGGCAGCACACAGGTCACCTACCCTTTCAGTGTGGTCAGTGCAGTTTAAAGTTCAAGTCATTCTCATATCTTTTGTCCCATGAAAAGGTCCACAAAGGGGAGAAACCCTGCCTGTGCTCGGAATGTGGAAAGACTTTTGCCCACAGATCCAACCTGTACCGCCACATTAGACTCATCCACAGTGCTTCTAGAAATGAGAAGAATTATTCTTGTTCCCAGTGCGAGAAGGTCTTTAAAGAAAAGGCCACCCTGATAAGACATCAGAGGACCAAGCACCTCCAACAACTGTTCCGCAGAGAGTGCCCCTACTGTAGTAAGATGGTCGCTCCGTCAACATTGGCAAGGCATAAAATGATGCACATGGGACAGAGCCCCTTCAAATGCACCACCCCTGATTGCGAGAGTGCCTACAGAACTGCTTCAGAGCTGAAGAGACACGTGCTTTTACACCACACCACTGAGCGACCTCACAAATGCGATGTCTGTGGAAAGGGCTTCGTACGACTCGGCGATCTCAACTTGCACGCAAAAATCCACACTAAAGAAAGACCGTTTGTTTGCCACATCTGCGGCAAGGCTTTCCTCAAGTCCTACAGCATGTTTAGACATAAAAGGCTTCTACACTCGTCTGTGCCAGATTAGAGTAAAATTGTAGAAATGTTTAAATGAAATCAGTGAATAAATGTCATAAAGCAAATGTTGAGAAAAGTTTGTGTACCCAACTGCAGGTGTACTGTTGTCAGATGGATCATAATGTTTTGGAGATGAACCTTTTGTAGTACTACATATGAGGCTCTGCAGTAATTAGTACTGGACCAATGACTGGCAACATTTTGTTACACAAACTGGTGTTAGATGGTAAAACTCCTTTTGGGCAGGTTGATGAGGATTGGAACTCATTCTCCACTCTAAGGAGATTGCAATTGGCATTGAAATTTCTTGACATACCTTTGCTGAGAAATAAAACAATAATTGTTCAAGAAATTGTCAGTGGTATGTCAATTTTGACTTCCTGCTTGGCTGATATATATATATGAGAGGATTGGTACAAACATCTTACAAATGTCACCTTTGGTTTAAGGTTTGTAACATTTTCTAGCAAAGGGGTTTGAACTTCGTTCTTAAGGGTGAAATACCATTTAAAAAGAGACCCTTAACCTTATTTTCTGACATTAAATCGAACCAAACATTTTCTGCTTTTAGGATTACCAAAGTTATCTGGCCATGCGATTGACATAGGGAGAGATGTGAATGTGTTTTGAGGGACACCTTAAATCGATATCAGTGGACAAATTGTGTGCACTCAGTCAGTTGTGTTCTTTTTTCTAAAGCAAAATATCTTAATCAGTGTTGTATCTGTGACCGTTAGAGCAGAATATATATTTTTGTTTGTCAGTCTAATTACAAAAAACATCCAAGAATGTAATGTATAATATGCAATCTCAAACATAAAATCGGAATTTTGGGCCAAAAATCTGATTTGCTTTGAAGGCATGTTCTCCATGGAAAGATTATGAGGTTACTTTTGTATTAATGCTACATTTTTAAATTGTGGTCTAAAACTTTTAAGATTCAATTTCATTGTTTTTTTTTCTCCTGGTTTTGGATGATTGTGAGACTGAAAAGAATTTCTGTCTTGCGTTAAATGTGCTGTGTGAAAAAAATGGAACTTGAGTGTGAATTCAAGAAAATGTTAAGAGGAAATACAATCAAAAAAGTGAATACATCTTGGTTTATGCATATGCATCTTTTTATTTGGTTTTATTTGATTTTTATAGCTTATTTTTCTCAGTTCAGTTGTGTATATTTCACATATGTTTTAAAAGTCTTGAAATAGTATGAACATATTTTTTATTTTACATCTCGGCATTCATTTTAACAAGGGTGGTAAACTTTTGAGATTTACTGTAACTTAAACCTTATGGATCGTTAAGGCATGAAACGGCCCCTATACATGAGGAACAAATCAGTTGTCAACACTTGAGATAGTTTGGCAAATAATAATAGTGGTTTCCACTGAGCTGAAACATCTAGAAGGTTAATAATTACACTATAATTATTCAGCATAACCGAGCTTTGAGTAATTTAAGAGCAATTATTCCTAAATATGTAACACATTTGACTATCTTCAAATTGGTGATGCAACAGGTCGTCACGAAGCGGAACGAAACAGAGCTAACTAACGAGTCCGGACTGTTTCAGACGAAACGCAGAGCAACCGTTGACGCAGAAAAAGCGCCTGGAAGACTTTGGTATTGAACAAAGCCGCTGTTAAAGGAATCTCTTTGACTGTGGTAGAGTCCCGGACAGTAGTTGTTCTCATTGTAATGTTACTACAGTGACTGTCTAAGATGGAAGGAGGAAGTTCCGAGTTACCTGGTGAGTAAAAACACCAACTGGCAGATTTGTTTAGCTAGGCCGCAGCGCGCGCGCGGGAATAGCATCCTAATAATATGTTAAAACTGACGGTTTTCGTCATAGTGTCCATATTATTTTATTGAAATCGGACTAACGATTTTCTTAGACGCCGCCAGAGGTACTTATTTACAAGCCTTGCGAGTCAGGTAGATATAGCTGATGCTAAAGGTGTTCTGCCACAGTGCCAACCTAGCTAGCTGAGAAGCATTGGAGCTAACTCAGTTAATGCTATGCTAGGCTAGAGTTAGCTTCTGAAATGACTCCGGTGGTTTTTACAGTTCACTCTAATATTTCTTAAACAAACGTTTCCTAAATTATGTGCTTATATCATTTATTTAAACTGAATATAAATCCTTCACGATACATTTACATATTTGATCAAGTCCGGAGAATGCAAATAAAACCAGGAAGATCCTACATAACCGGAGTTTGGCCCTGAATTTTTTTTTATTCCTTTTGTGAAGGGCAAGTTTTAAACTTTCAAAAACGTTTACTTTAAATGTTCAGTTAAAGTTAATATCGTTGTGTAATATTGTAAAGAGTTCTGTCAAGTCAAACGTTTTCATCTGAAAGACCATTAAAAACATTTCAATAACACAATAATGTTTGTACGTTAAAACACAAGAGGTGTGCAACATTTACACAGCTTCCCTTGTGGGGCTAATTTGTGTTTCCTAAAACACTCGAAAGGTTGTCACCAAATCACAACTTTTTAAAAAATTATTTTTATTTTTTACTAAAAAGAAAACGAATTGCCGTTTTATTCCATTTGAATGGCGAAAATAAATGTAGATCAAGTGACTTGTAAGAATCCTTGTATCCTTTGTATCCTTAAAAGCTACGTCTGCGAATATTGAAAGAATCCTACTATTTTTCCAATCAATTCTTATAATCTAAAAATATTATATGCAGACTTTGCCTGGGCCAGATAAGCATGTATTTGCATGTCAAATCACTTTACTTTGTGAAGATTAGGTCTACTTGTAGAACACAAATGCAGCATCTCAGTTTAAAAGTTTCATAACATAGATAAAGTAAAACTGAAGTGTATGGAGGGGTTCAATCACCACTACACTCATCAGCCATCATCACATGTATCCATGGTTTTGGATTTTTTTGGACCTTGTTCATAAGTATGAGTAAATTTTTCCTTTTTTTTTTTTTTTTTCTTGAGGGCTGGACAGAAATTTGACACAGGCATGAACCAGTTACTAAATTAAGAAATGTAGTAGGAGGGACTTTCAATTGCATTATTGTTCCCGTCTCCTCATAGAAACAAGCTTCTATGTACTTTCAGGGCATTTACATGGCGTAATGGTCTATTACATTGACTTTAAAAAAAATCTACATGTCTTCAATCACTGTTTTGTAGAATCTAAGCTTTACAATGATTCCTAGCTACAGCTGACACCAGATATTTGCATACAATGAGTAAAAACACATGTAAGCCTTTTTTTTTCTCACTGTCTGAAGTTAAATCAGACCTTACTTTTCCTGTTTTAGCTGAGTTAGAATGACCAAGTTTATTTATATTGCTAAATGAAGGTAACCTGGCAAGATTTTTTTTTTTTTTTTTAAGAGATTATTATTTTTTTTTTTTTTGGAACTTGCTTCGAATTCAGAAATTTCTATGTGTTTGGGTAGCATCATCGATAACTGCCTTTTAAACTGTATGACATGGGTCAAACATTTTGTATGCGTCTTTTTATTCATATTCCAAATATCTGGAATGAAGACCCACTGGCCTATTTTTAAGAACATGCCTAGTATAATAAGGGGTAGATATTTATTTTGACAACAAAAACTATGCCTAGACTCTTAAATCGCTTGTATTGGTGCCATATGATTGACTTTCACTCTTTTTCTTGACCAGTAATTCAACCTTTTGGAAGCAGTAGATGAGGCTGAGCAGATATGTTGATAATCTATGAAGGATTATATTATAAATAATTTATTAAAGTCTTTCACTAATCTGTTTTTGGGGAAGGACAAGTGTAAGACATGCAACTATTGAAAAAATGATGGGAGCTGGAGAAAATCCCACAAAAACAGCAGTCCACTGTTAGTACTGTGGTGTTGAAAGTCCAAAGAAAGTGTGAACACTCTGATCACTAGTGGAAAATATAAATATATTCTTTCAAATCCAGGACAAGCAATAGCAAATGTTCTAAAATAACTACTTTTATTTTATAAGTTCTATTCAGACATGGGACAAGTACCCAGTTTATTTCACTATCAGTCATTCTCGCTGCACCCATGGATTCAAGGAGATCATATTCATTAGGATCTCATAACAGTGAAGTAACACACTATGAAACAGAGAAATCTTACACTCAGAGTGCAGACAGCCTAAAATCATCCTCCAGAGGATAATGTCAAAGATTCCCTAGAGAGGCATAGAACTGCTTGGAGCAGCAAGCAAAGAGTTTAACCTTCAGAGCAGTAACGAGACATCACTTGTCTGAGGCTGAACGGGAAATCCCAAGGACAGGTCTAGAATCATCTGCTGGGGTATATTAATGCAGACGAGATGTTTGAGTTTCAAAAAAAAATTTTTTTTGCACAGCAAGATGTTTCACTTTTATGTTTCATCCCAGACTTGCTCTAAAACGTACACCTGCTTTTTCAAGCAATTACTGACTGTGTTTCCTTGTTTTGCAGGTCCCACTCTTCCCCTCTCCGCCCTGCGCCTCCTGGTTTCCCCCATCCGCTTGGTGTCTGCTGCGATCTGGCACACAGTGGAACAGAAGATTGTGTCCGACTATGGCCTGCTGGAGGAGTTTGTGTTCATGGTTACGGAGATTGTTCCTCAGCTTCTTTCTACAAGGCAGCGAGCCGAACTCATTTTGGGCCTCAGAGCACGAGTGAGTCAGGTTTTGTTTGCTAACATTGATTTCTGATTGGAGTTTTTACATTAATCATGACCTGAAAGAGTCCAGGCCTTGTTGGGGAGTAGTGATCAGTATAGAGGCTTATCTCAACATTAAGGGTGCATTGTTTGGTGTTTAGAAAGCAGTTTTTTCTGTCACCAAAATAAACGTAATGATATATTGACAACACAACTGCACTTTTCAAATTAGTGTCTCAAAGATGGATACACAGCACTCCTAATGTTAATCATCAAACTGCTGTTTTCTAAAGGGATCAGCTCTAAAGCAAATGCAAACAAAGCAGAAGGGGCATCTGAGCAGCTTTGTAAACAATTTTCATCTTACTGATTTATTTATTTTGGCCTTTTAAATTGCAGCTGATCCTGGAACTGTGTCGTTCTGATGAAACGGCCGACCTGCAGATTATTCAGCCACACCTCGACCGAATGCAGAGCCTCAGGTCTCTGTGGAAAATAGAGGTAAACTCTCTTACCTCTGTTGCATGCTGGGTTTGTTGATTCTGGTGAATGTAGTTATTTTGCTTGTCCTTTACTATCAGTTTGCAAAACCAATTGATTCTGCTTCTGCCTACAGTCAACAGAAGTGTCTGACTCTCATTTCATGGGCCTTGTTCAAAATTTGCTCAGAGATCCTGATGAAAGAATGACCTTTTTCCAGGTAATCCTACGTAGACAAACAGCTCTGTATCTTCAGCTCTTGTTAAAGTTGTTGGTGGTCACCCAACTATTTACTGGATTTGTTGGTGTTTCAGGATGTTTTCCCTGGAGACTTTGGGCCCACATACGACAAAGCTATTCAGACTCTGATGTGGCTGTTTCTGTCCAGACTTGAAAAGCTCCTTCCTGCTCAAAGTCTCCAGCAGGTAAACGCATAATCTCAAGAGGAAAACGTCTTAGGTTTTTGTAGTACTCAAAAAATGTGTTTGAATAGAATATAATTTTAAAAACATTTAATTTTTGTTTTTTTATCAGGTTGTTTCACTGATGAGTGACACCACCTCTTTTCTGAATGAATCCATGGAGACTTTAGTTCAACCTGAAGATCTAAAAGTATTGTTGGACACACAGAAAAATCTCACCCACCTTGAAGATATTGGTAAGGAGATCTTTCTCTGATATACAGGTTCATTGCCATTTAGCAGTTCTGTCAGAAAGTTCTCTGTATGTTCTACCTGAACTGATCTATTGTGTTTCTTTTCAGAGTCTTATGTTGTTGACAGCGGCATCTTATCAGCCCTTTGTCTTCCTCCTGTGGAAAGAGTCGTGATTGTCAACGAGCAGCCAGGAACCGACGCAGAGAGTAGCCTCGTGTACACAGTCTGTTCAGAGATGGAGGTGGAATCTGAGAACAAAGAAGTGTATGTCGAAGTACCTGGGAGCACAGCAGAGTGTGCAGAGCCACAGTGGTTTGGCATCAGTGGAGAGGTGAAGACTGAAATGGACAGTATTGTGGTCTCGGATCCCACCGAAGGCACTGAGGCCAGCGAGGGGGAAATGGTAGATGACAGGCACGATGACCATGCTGGGACTCTGATCATTGGGGAGGATGGCCAAGTGACACTGCTAGATGGCGTGGAGAAGAAGCCAAAGAGGCATGGGGGGAGAAGGAAATGCCCAGACGACGACGATAAAGATTACAAAGTGGAAAGTAAAGCAAGGGGCTTTAAGGAAGACTTGGATGCAGACCCCTTGTGGGAAAGACCAGTGAGAAAGAATCGAGGACTTAAGATGAAACGGTACCTGTCGCAGTGGAGAAAATCAGGCAAGACTTTGGGCGGTACCACAGTTTCCCAGAGTTCAGCAAAAAACGACTTGGATGAGAGAACGTGCAAGGTGTGTGGCAAAGTGGTGACCCAGGCCAAGTTCCTGCAGAGACATATGAATCAGCACACAGAGGAGCTGCCCATTGCTTGTTCCGTGTGCAAAAAGTTTTATAAGAGTTTACGCTTCTTGCAGCAGCACAAATGTACTACTTCAACTAAAGTAAATCCTGATAAAGATACACAAGGACAAGAAACCACATCAGATGCTGGTGAACAGTCATCCAGTGGGGTCATTTGTGAGGCATTTATTGACGATCATCCTCCAGACAGCACCGCCCAAGATCCTGACTATATCATGTCAGAGAAGTCCTCCGGGGAATTAGGAGAAAGAAGCCCAGACGGAAGTAAGAGTGGCCTGGAAGGTCCGTTCTACTGTCCTCACTGCAGTGTCGAGTTCAAATGCAGACAAACGTTTAGGTTCCACATGAGGAACATTTGCTACACTGAGCAGCAAGTGGATCCCGAGAATCCAGATGATGTGAAACACTGTTTCAGATGTGACGAATGTGACAAGGCTTTTAAGTACAAGTCAACGTTGGATTCCCACAAGCAGACTCACAACCCACTCTACTGCGAGGTCTGCATGAAACTAGTACGTGACTCGGAGGCTCTGGCCATGCACAAAGAATCCCACACTCCATTCCAGTGTAATCGGTGTGAAGAGCACTTCCCCGTATTCAAGGCCCTTCATAAGCATTACATCGATGCCCACAACCCCACTGAGCCTTTCACTTGTCCGTACTGTGAAACGACCTTTTCCAGTTTGAAGCGTTTCATCAGACACGAGTGGAAACACACCGGTTACCAGCCTTTCCAGTGCACTCACTGTGCTAAAAGGTTCCGCTCATACTCTGATCTTGTGGAGCACCAGAAAAAGCACACAAAGGCGTATCCGTATCTTTGCTGGGAGTGCGGCAAGAAGTTCAGGCACGGCGTCACACTGACGAGGCACGTGGAGCGTGTGCATCACGCCGGAGAACCCGTAGACGAAAAACCTACCACGATCTTCCCTTGTACTCAGTGTGATAAGACCTTCACATCTAGAAGGTGCCTTCTAAAACATGATAACTTCCACCACAAAGGGATGCGCTTCCCATGTGAGCACTGCGGAAAGGGATTCTTTGGGAAGGACGCGTTGGTGAGGCACACTTTGATCCACACCGGCGAAAGGCCTTTCAAGTGCGATGACTGTGAGAAGTCTTTTAGATCCGCAGCAGAACTGAAGATTCACAGGCGGTACCATACTGGAGAAAGACCGTTCAAGTGCACCATATGTGAAAAGGGTTTTGTCCAATCCTGTTTTCTTACTTTGCACATGCGAACGCATACAGGAGAGAGACCATACGTATGTGCAGTTTGTAACAAGGGCTTTTCAAGTTTGCATGGCCTCAAACGACACAGGAGACTTGTCCATTCCTAGTTTCTATTAACATTATATTAATCTTAATGCGGACTTTAACTGTCAGTTTACTATGTCCCTTATGAAGGAGGTTAGTTTAGCTTCAGCGTTGTGCCAGAAAATAAAAACGGATTGCTTATGATTATAAATCTCACTTTGGTTGTCTGGGTGCTGGTTAGATATGGAGACTTGAAACCAAGTTTTCCTCTTCTGTGACATTGTCCATATATTACGTGGTTGCCACAGACTTGCGTTGTCAGAAATGTATAGTTATACTGAATTATAAAAATGTATCTTTGTATTTTTTACAGACATGTTTGCTGCACTTCTGCATATAATTTGTATGTATGTGATTTAAAATTTAATTACCTTTAGAAATTTGGTTTTTCTTCCTTAAATAAAAATTCTTAGTGTCACTTGCTTTGAGTGATGTGATGTGATTTGGTGTGGTAATCTTTTTTTAATAGTATTTACCTAAAATTTCAGAAGAAATACTTAACTTAATTTTAGTTGGTAGGGAACATACCTTTATTAGCAGTGTAGCTTTTTTAATACAAATTTCAAATAATTTAAAAAGGCTTTAATACAGCACCCTCTATTGAAAATGGTTGTCTTGTCAGATCAGTAAGATGGTGTTTTAACTCTTCATGGTGTTATTGACTGAAAAAGGAGTATTTGTGAAATGTGAGGAAGTGGTAATAAAAAAAAAAAAAAAAAGTACCACCCCAGATGGGACTCGAACCCACAATCCCTGGCTTAGGAGGCCAGTGCCTTATCCATTAGGCCACTGGGGCTTTTGCGGCATCACTGGTAGGTAAGACATCATCAGCCTTCTGTGCACAATTTTCATGTCTGTTTTTGTACATGGTTTCCTAATTGTGAGATGCAATGTCCGACGGCACCCTAGTGGTTATTTACCTTGGGCTTGCTTTAACAGGGTTACTCCCGAATAAAAACTATCTTTGAAAAAAGGAAAAATACAGATTTTAAGTAAAATGAAATTACTTAATTGGGTATAGGATTGTAATTTATCTGCCCTGGAATTGTTGAAAGGCGTCTACATTTAACTCAAACTATTTGATGATGACGTTATGTTGACACGCATTTACGACATCCACTGGAGACAAGTGAATTCCCTCCGATCCTGACAGCGAGAGACAGCCCCGGTTTTGTCTTTTGTTTTTTTTTTCTTCTTCTTCGCTCTGTCCAGCAAAAGCCCGACTCTGGTGGAGGAATGGTAGCCAGTTAGCTAACGGACAAAAACTGTTGGGTTTTTACTCGTTTAACATCGCTGGTTACTTTGTTATAACGATGAATTTACTACCGTCCAATCCACATGGAAATGGGCTTCTTTATGCTGGATTTAACCAGGATCACGGTAAGAATCATAGTCGAAATGATCATCATTTCCCCCCCGTCTAATAAAATTGAGAAACGTCGTAGATACACAATTCGTTGCGTGTTAGTTGTCTCAGTGTGACACGTCAGTCCTTGTTTCTTAAATTCCGCATTCATTTTTTTACATTAACAAATATTTTCTAAAAGCGCTGCGTTACCTTTGAACTGCCAGGTTAAATTACCGACAAAGTTAACATTAGCATTAGCTCGTACACTTGAATTTGGCAAACTAAAATTGCAGCTGCCACTTTAGTTTATTGCTTACAAATATTCTGACTGACAAAATAATGACTCGGGAACCCAGCAATAGAAAATATAGATAAACACAAGGTGGGAAAAAAGGGTTATGTGTAATGGGTGCTGTATGCTAACTTAGCATTAATGCTACTGCTAGCAGAAAACCCTTCGAACATAGCGGCTATCCGCTAAAAGCAGCTATGTCAACAGTACTAAGGTTAGCTCAGGGCTGTTCTGAATTCCCACAAGTAATTTGTTTCCACAATACTTTCTCTTCAGTACTTTCCAGAATAAGTTACCGTATAAGACGTGATTTAGCCACGTATTTTTTCCCTAAGTTCTTCATAAAGACACTGTACGGGCCGTGAAGTGTCTTTAAATTTCTTCTTTTATACCTCGTTACCCTTTTTTAAGCCAAGGTATAAAACTTTGACATAACTGAAACGAAATTGTTAAATGAGCCCAGAACGGACCAGTGGAAACTCTACCACGAAGTGCCAGTTCTCTATAAATAACAGTGGAGGTTAATGGTTTGTTTCAATCTGTGGTCAGTGGTTCCATCTTCAACATTTATTTTTCTGCTTCCTGTTACCTTGACTCTTTGGGAATGATTATAAAATATATAGAGAAAGAGAATTTTGTTGTATTTGTTGGGTCTTTGTGTTCTTGTCCAGGATGCTTTGCTTGTGGAATGGAGAATGGATTTCGTGTCTACAACACAGATCCTCTCAAAGAAAAGGAAAAGCAAGGTAACCAGACGATATCATGTCAATGAGTATAAGATAAGTGCAAAATCTTTTTTTGTTTTGCTCACTCTTGGAAATGTACCACACTTTTACTTGAATGTAACGCCTTAAATTTGAGTAAGCGAGGCATATAATTTAGGATGCAAATTTGTACGGTTTCCTAAAAAGCATTCTGTCTCTCCTTTGTCTGAATTTACATCACATCGCAGTGCAGGACCGTTTGTGTCACGCTCTCTTGTATGCACAGATCTGTTACAGAGATTGGAAATATCCCTGTGTTTGTATTTCAGAGTTCCTAGAGGGAGGCGTTGGCCATGTGGAGATGCTGTTTAGGTGTAACTACCTGGCGCTGGTGGGAGGAGGGAAGAAACCCAAGTACCCAACTAATAAAGGTATGTTTGCCACATTCCTACTGAAAAAAAAATGAAGATGAGAAAATGTCTGCAGGTTTCCTTTGCAGAAGTTTTCTTAAAGCTTAAAATGCAGTTTGCCTTTGCGGTGTGGAACCACAAACCTCAATAACTTTCAGTGGCATTTTATGTGAGTGAGCAGCAAACTCTGAAGCTTTCTTAGTCTTCTTAGTTTATCTTTAAGATTCCCACAAAATTAATTTTATGTATTCTAATTTCTTGTTTCAGTCTTCATATTAAGGATTCCAGCAGTTTATTTCTATCCCTATTTCTTGTCTGCAGATCTACAAGGTGGAGTTGTATGAAGAAGCTCTTCTTATTTTTTACAGCACTCCATCTTGTACCTTTTTTTTATTTTTGGGAAAAACTTCAGGTTTTCACAGTAGTTGTGTTTTAATGTTACAATATTAGCTTTCTGCTTAGCTTTTAATCTATAGTGAAGTCATAAAACATAATGGAAGAAACTTTTTGACAGATGTTTTGGGGGGTAGTCCGGGGGTGAGGGGAGCTGATATGATTAGTCGGATGAATCACGATGAATCAATTATTGAAATAATCGTCAAGTAATTAGCAAGCATTTAATAGTTGACTGGAGTGCACAGACTTAAAAAAAAGGCCAGATGCTGAAAGACCAACATAGTCTGAACCGTAAGTGAGCCAAAACTTTACAAAAAACATAATTAAAAAAAAATTCTTTGTCTGTAAATACATTTTACCCAGAACTCCTTGAGTGGCAGTTTTAGCTTCACTCAGATGACATTTTGTAAAATAAAAATAAATAAGTAAATAAATCTCCTATTAGGCACCTTTTGCTGTCCGATTATTAATCAGTTAAAAGACAAAAAATAAAATATAAAATCAACAGATCAGCCCTATAATATTGCTATTAAGACAAACAGAAATAACTGTTGAAGGCATTTTGTTTGCAGACGTAGATTTAAAATAATTTATTAAAATCTGATTAATCGTTATAATAGTCAATTACTAACATAACCGTTAAGTTGTAACCGTCATTTTGAGTTGCGTCGCTGTTCTTTTGACTGAAAGCCTCCTGCAGTTGGAAACTATTAAAAAAAAAAAAAAAAGCTCCTGTCATCTCAGGGGATGAGGCGACCAAGCGTGTTATTCCCATCCTCCGCTCAGCCTTTCTGAGCTACAACTTGGATGCTGTATTTTAATTTTTGCTCTTGATCGTGTGATTGGTTGACGTTCTAGTGATGATCTGGGATGACCTGAAGAAGAAGACGGTGATCGAAATCGAGTTCTCCACAGAGGTGAAAGCGGTGAAGCTTCGGCGGGACAGGTACGGATGGGCTCCCGCCCGCGGAGGCCTCCATTTTCCCTTCGGAAACATTCGACTACTGCATCTGGATGTGTGTGTTTTATTTTGTTTTGTTTTTTTTTTCTTTCAGGATTGTGGTAGTCCTAGACTCCATGATCAAAGTGTTCACCTTCACGCACAACCCGCATCAGCTGCACGTGTTCGAGACCTGCTACAACCCCAAAGGTCGGTGCCGACGCCCGTCCGGTCCGGACCGGCCGACTCGTTAGCCATCACAGCAGGCGTCTCGTTGTTTCTAAGCCGCCGCCGCCGTCTCGTTCGTTCCAGGTCTGTGTGTGCTGTGTCCCAACAGCAACAACTCCCTGCTGGCGTTCCCGGGAACGCACTCGGGACACGTGCAGATCGTGGACCTGGCCAACACCGAGAAGCCGCCTGTCGACATCCCCGCCCACGAGGGGGCGCTGTGCTGCATCGCACTCAACCTGCAGGGAACCAGGATAGCCACGGCGTCGGAGAAAGTGCGGAGAGTTTGTTAATTTTTTGTTGGATGTTGGTTTGGAAGGGGGGGTTGGCGACCTCTGACCTCCCGCGACTTAATTCCCGTCACGTTTCCGCAGGGGACTCTGATCAGGATCTTCGACACGTCGGCGGGGCAACTCATCCAGGAGCTGCGGCGAGGCTCGCAGACGGCCAACATTTACTGGTGAGGGAAAGAACCTTGGATATTTATCTTTATTTCTTTTTAAAGGAAAAACTCTGATAGGAAATCTGCTTATGTGTTTTTTTTGTTGTTGTTGTTTTCTTTTATTTGTGGCTTCCAGCATCAACTTCAATCAGGACGCGTCTCTGATCTGCGTGTCCAGCGACCACGGCACCGTACACATCTTCGCTGCGGAAGACCCCAAAAGGAACAAACAGTCGAGGTCTGTGTTCTCATGGCCCCTGAGGCCGGAGGAAGCACGCAGTCTTAACGATTTTCACATTTTGTTGCATTGTAAGCACAAACGTTCAACGATTTTATGTGATTAGATCAGCACAATTGTAAAGCTGACGAAAAACAAAGATGATAGTTTTGGGCAATATAAAAAAATCAAAATAAAATCAGATTTTTGTTTTTTTATGTCACATCCAACTTATGATTTTAATCTAAATTTCTTCTGAAAGTGGCTTATATTTCAGTCATTCAGTGTAGATGATTGAACTTTTGTTTAATTAGAATATAGTCAGAGTTTTATCAGAACTATAATAATTTTATAAGAAAATGTCTTAAAATTATGAGCAAATCATCATTTTAATGAGAAAAAAATCTTAGATTAAGTTCATGTAGATCTTTATTCAAAATGGCTGTTTTCGCAATCATTTCAAAATCCTACTAATAATAATTTGATGCCCGTGGGAGTCCTCCAGACCAGTAGGTGGAATCTGGAGCTGTTCTGTAAAAGACTGCATGTTTGAAAAAAGCCATAAAATATAACACAATTTGTCTTCCTTACTCAATCTTTCTTCTGAATTTCCCATTAAATCATAAAATACAATATCAGGTCTTTATTGACCATCTGGTCCCACATGATTTATTGACTGACTCCCCCTAGTGGTCTGGAGCACATCTGTTCTACTGCCTGCAGCATTTCATACTTGCCATTTTTATTATAATCATGGCATTTTCTCCCTTCGCTTCTTCTTCCTGGATTCTTGTTGCTTTTTTGCTTTTTTTTGTTTTGTCGCCACATTTTCTGTTTTTATTTGTTTTGTGTTTTGCCGTTTCCATCGTTCACGTGCTTGTAGCTCAGTTTGCCTTGTGTTTTTGCAACTTCCGACCACCGTAGTCATCGACTCTAAAGCGATGCTGAAGACCTAAGACTTTGTAGAAAGTTCGGGAAACCGTTTATCATCTTTTTTTCAACTTCACAATTAACTAGCTTGTGCTGCTCTGTTACATAAAACAAAGAAAGAAAGAAAAAACATATTGGTTTGTTCTTTTGTCATGTGACAAAATGTGGAACATTTCAGAGGAAGTTAATGGTTTTGCAGTAACTCTTAGAACCAGTTGTAACTTCGCCTTTCTCCTCTGCAGTTTGGCATCTGCCAGCTTCCTCCCCAAATACTTCAGCTCCAAGTGGAGCTTCTCCAAGTTCCAGGTGCCGTCGGGCTCCCCCTGCGTATGTGCCTTCGGAACAGAGCCCAACGCAGTCATAGGTGAGCTAGCAGCGGGACGCCTGTTGGGAAAAGGATGACTTATCGTGTCACACATCTGTCAGACTCGGCACCAAGGAAGTCACCGACCTAGAAAACAGATTCTTCTATCTGCTCCTGCTCAGGTCTTCTTCTCTCTCTCTCTCTCTCTTTCTGCAGCCATTTGTGCTGACGGCAGCTACTACAAGTTTCTGTTTAACCAAAAGGGGGAGTGTTCCAGAGACGTGTACGCTCAGTTCCTGGAGATGACTGATGAGAAAATATGACCCTCGTGACTTCCTGCTGAGCAACACATTTTTTTTTTTGTCCTTTCCCTTTTTGTTTTTGTTTGTTTCTGAGGAATTAGAAGTTCTACTTTGCACTTCATCTTATCTGCAGAGACTCTGGCTCATCAGAGCATCAGATGGAGAGGACAAAGAAAACAACAAAGCACAGATTTGTTTTTGTTTTTTGGAGGATTAGTGGGAGACTTGAGGAAATGTGACGTGCGCCGCCTTTACTCCCAAACCAAACCCACGGCGATGAGGGAAAGTTTTTTTTTTTTTTTTTTTCTGAAATACAAACAGTTTTACGATGTCTTCCGATGGCTATTTTTATTCCCGTCCCGATAGTTAAGATGGCTTGGATAACTAACACCGCCTAACCCCAAACTACAGGTAGAGTGCCTCTGAAACTGAAGAGAGTGTGTGCGCACATATCGCAGATAAAAAACACACGCACGCACACACACCAAGTATACCAAGTGTATAACATTATTAGGTGTGTGAGGGGATCCCGCTTTGTTAGGCATCACCTTAGTGTTCATAGGTTTTTCTTTGCTTGTATATATACACCTGACTGAACTAACCACATAGAGCTGTACAGAACAGTGGCTTAAAAAAACAAAAAAATTAACCTGTATTTTTGTTTGTTTTTGTTTTTCACTTTATTTGTTGTGCAATACTCCGTTTAGTCTGAAATTTGTGAGAAAAGCTGGAAGATTTATATTTTGAAAGAGAAGTTCTTTCAACAGATTGGCTTCATGGAGGAAGTAATTGCACCGAGAAAAAGTTTGCATGTTAAGTCTTAGTTAAATCGATTTCAATCAGATTTCTTTGTGAGAGCCACCTCCAAAACAAAAAATAGAAAGATATTTCTTGACTGCATTCATAATTTATATTTTGATTCTGCCTCGTGTTATTGGTCACTTTGCACCTTCCTCACTACACTTGTTTTTGTTTTTGCCATTTGAGCTGATCAGTCAGCAACCTCTGGAGAAGTCTGTCTGCATCCACCGCAATGAAACTAGTGACAATCTTTTTTGTTTTGTTTCGTTTTAATTGTCACAGCCTTCAGTTGATTTGTTGCAAAAACACATTTCATTTTTGTGGCTTCTTCTTGCATCCGAACATGCATTTGCAGTGCTCGGAAGTCGCAGACCACTAGAGGGGGATGCTGAGTAAACTGAGATCTCAGCCAACCAGTTTCTGATACACTTAATGATTGTAAAATGTGCATTTAAATATGTGAATAAAATTTAACATCTGCTTTTCCAGATAGGTTTGATGAACTCTTACTTTCGCTGTCAAATTACTACAATGAGGCAGGTAAAGGAAAATCCCTGAAATAGGCCTATGTCGCCAGTAGGGGGCCCCCCAAGAGTATGTAACTTTTAACGTATTTGTTAAAACTGTTGCTACGTTGTTGCTGTTGCTAAGGAATTTAATTTTGAATAAATCTAACTCCTCTGCCGTCTCCCAGTGCTATCTGAAGAAACATCCAATCACAAGTTTGTTTACGTGAACACACTCATTCACGTTGTTTCTCCGTCCCCTTTGCCCTTAGCTAAGCTGCAGCTGGTTTCCCACATTACAGCTAGTTTTCCCATAGCCTGCCATGAACGTTCAGGATAGTTAATATGGCCACCGATAATGGCGGATACACGGATTTTCTGGAGCTGCAAGTTGTTTTTCCACCATTAACACTTTTGATAGTGCGCGCACGAGAGTGAGTGACCGTGCTAAGACCATCCTGGCTCTGATTGGTTGTTTGTATTTCCACTATTTTTTTTTCTCATACTGCGCTATTCCATCGTGATAGTTTAAACAAATATGTAAAAATAGCATGCCCCGTTTAAGTTTATGTCAAAGAACAGACCAATTTTAAATAAATGTTTTTAAAAATCTGACAGATGTACTAGTTCTGATAATGCAGAAGAAAATTTCCCAGTTTGATAACCGATTTTAATGTTGCTGTGCTGAAAGATCAAATTAGAGGAACAGCCTAATATACTGCTAATTGTTTGACAAATAATAGGAATAATCTAGCAAGAAAGAGGCAAACAGTGGCTCTCTAAAGTTTTCATACCACCTCTTGGATGATGACTTGTTTCGTTTGGTGGGAACACTGAAGATAACTCATGGATTGCATTTCCTTAAAGTCAATGACCAAAAATGTAAAATAAGGTTTTTCCGGTTCGAAATCCTGTTTTGCTAGCGGATCAAATGCTAATTTCATCCTATAGGCATGTTGGGAACTTTAATGTTAGTAATTCTCATTGTAATTATTATGAAAACAAACAGTTTGATGAGCTAGTGGTAGAAATTTCCAAGCAGGGACTAAATGCAAACATGCCACACTTTCCAGATCTTAAAAGGTGAATAAAAATATGAAAAACTTTGCAGGGCTCTCCTTTTGCCTCACAATTGTGTTTATCAAAGTCACAAGAAAACCCAATGAGTTTTGTGGTTTTAACAGGAAGCAGGATAAAAACATTAAAGGGGTTGGATGAATACTTTTGCAAAGCGTTGTTTACTGTATATTATGAAAGGATTTTTTTATTCAGACCTTCCTTCAAAATGCACAGACTAAATAAAATGGCAATTAGACTCTAGGAAAGTATGGAACCCTGATGCGTTTTACTCCTTTTTTAATGTTTTGGCAAACATTAACACTTTTATAGGAGCCATTTTGATTTTATCCCATTACAAACCAGACTGTTAATCTTTGGCAACATTTGAACTACAACCCAACCCCTTCATTTCCACACAAAGAAATAAATATATAGACTCTGCATTTGCTCAACTGAGAGGGTTTACTCAAAGAAATACAGAGAGAATCTGTGTTTAAATAAATTTATAAAAAAAAAAAAAAAAAGCATTTTTCCACTGAAGCAGAACGAACAATTATCACTTGCTTTAGCTCATAGAACATAGAATACAAGCTGAAAAGCCTTACTTTGTCGCCTGAAATTAAAAATAAAAAACAATAAAGGAAAGAAAACCAAGCAAATCAGCTTCAACACAAAGATAAACACAGCCGATGATGACGGGGAAAACAAGTGAGCAAATACAAAACAATATAATAATAATAATTAAAAAAAACTAAGAGGTTAAGTGCAGCACAGGTCAGAATCGTATAGCGTAGATTCAGTCTAAGTTTTCTTCAGTTCCATATTCAAATGATCTGCTCTGGTACTTTTTGTTTCTACATCTGTAACATGCAAGCTCAATGACACGTATGCTCAAATATACACGGGAATATACGTTTTAATTCGTAGGATATCTGGAAAATATGACAAAAGATCTGTTGATGTACAGTGAGAACCACGTTTCATTCGCAGAAACAGAAAGAGCATCCACTCCATAGTGTTTTCTTTAAATGAGAAAAAAACCTAATATATATATATATAACAAAAACAAAACAAAAAAGTAAGACTACATTCATGTCACCGAACAGTCCACATACAAGAAAAATAAAAATAAAAACAACAGAAAAGATTCCCAGAATTGAAATGTTTGGATGTTTCTTAAAGAGGCGGCGCTTGCTGCTCCGGATTATTACAGGTGCCTCAGGAAAAGAAAAGAAAACTGACACAAAAAAAAAAAAACTAACTGCTCCGTGGCGCACCGAAGATACGACGGAATACTGCATTTCTACTCGCGACTCGGTTAGGTAGGTCGACGTGGAGGCTAGCTGCCGAAGATGGGAATGTCCACATGTCCACAAGCCTGCCTACTGGTTGAACGCTTTGATTTTTCTGTAATGCTACCAGGAGGAGACACTCCTGTTTGTCTTTGGGTGGCTGGGGGGCGAGGAGGGCGGGGCAAGTTGCATGGATAAACTTTTTGTTCTGGACTTTCCTTTCTTTCTGTCTCTGCTTCTTCTTGCTCTCTGGGTCTCAAACTTGAGAGTGAAGGGAGTGGAAGGGGGGATTCACAGTCATCAGCTACGCTTCTGTTTCATTTTCAGTTTGGTCTCTAGTTTTTTGTTTTTGTATTTTTTTGCTTTTTTTTTTTTTGCATCGTGTTTTCTGCTATTAAATACGTGGCAGATAGGGGGCGGACAGGCGGGGTTCACACAATCGGTAGTGCTTTTCTTTTTGGCACCTTGAGGATGGTGAAGGAGGGTGGGATGGAAGGGTGGAGGGGTGGAGTAGGGGGTGGGCGGCGCTACTTGTCGCCAGCCTCTCCGCCGCCGTCTGTGGTGCCGTTGTTGTTGCCGATGGCGGTGGCAGGGCCGTTCTCCTCGTCGGTTTTCGCCCTCTTGGATTCGGGCGGGTCCTGCAGCTCTCCGTTCTGCCTCTTGGTGGGGAGGGAGGCCGAGGCCGAGGCGTGCGTTGCCAGGAGATGGAGAGGGTTTGCTGCAGAGACGGAGGACGGGGGGTGGGGGACTCGTTAAAACGCCAGAGAGAGGCTGCTTCGTGCACGGCAGGCTGTTGCTGCGGTGACACGCTGACATCATGGTGAACTAAACTGGCTCTTTTAACTCGACCTCATTGCACAGAGTATTAAACACAATACTACGGCATCTCAGCTTTATGTCTTTATAGGCTTAGAACACTTATCAAGCAACATTTTTGTTCTGTCTCAGCATTTGATGATGATAATTTTTTTTCTTCTACCACACAAGAGATATTCTGAGTCTGAGGAAACAGAGAAATGCTCAATTTTTAGGTGCTAAAAATTCATGCTTCCACATACTGCTGGGCAATAAATCGACTAATCAAATTTTTGGAAAATCTGGATTTTCTCCTTGGATTTCCATAGTTCAGAGTGATGTCAGGACGCCTGAAGCCACCATCTTGTTTTACAGGTGTGTTTATCTTTACTTTTAATTCAGGTCAACTGCATAAAGAAATATAAGGGTCAAGCTAAATTTTTATTCCTTTTCTCATTACAAGAATAAAGGTAATAATTTCCATTTTTATTTTATGTTACAACTGTTGTTGCAGTTTATTAAATTATTTACTGTTAAATATTGGATAATTGTGAAGTACCATGAAATGACCTGACTGTCCTTTCAGTGTGACAACAGCCGACTCTCATTTGGAAGGTATTTCACTATTAATCTTCCTCAAAATAGCTTCAACTCACCTGAACTAGCAGCGGTGCTGATGGGCACCAGGTGAGTCCCGTTCTGCGTGATGGCCTTGATAGGAAGCTGGTGCTGGCCGAGCGGGGCTTGCTGCACTATGGTGACGGTTGTCAAGGGAGCAGCCTGTGAGCTCTGGATGATGCGGCCGACTCCGCCTATAGAGGAAGCCGTGATGGACGGGACTGGCTCCACTTTGACTGCAAAGCACAATGGGAGAGGAGTGTGAGTTGACGAGCGACGCCTTCGGCTAACACCTGACGAGAACGCTCCAGACGAAGTTCACCTTTGACCTCCTGGTGATCTCCTACACCTCCTCCGTTCTCCTGAGGCTCGGGGCTCTCCATCGAGGCGGGCTGCCCTCCGACGGTTGCCATGGTGACCGCCGGGATCTGGTGGACCACGTGCACGGTCTGCATGACGGGAGCGGAGCTCACCGGTGTCGTTACCATGGCCGGGGTCGCCATGGCGTAGGTCACAGGCTTCATGGTGGTCTGAGGCATCTGGCGCTGCACGGCGATCAGAACCGGCTGGCTGTTGAGGGGGGAGCCTGGACAGGAAACAGGAAATGAGTTCAGCAACAAACATGCCTAAGGGCTGAAAACGATGAGTCGGATTAATCGTGATGAATCCATCATTGGTTTAATCGCCAACTAAGGTAATAATTGATTAATCGTTAACTGGAGTATACAGACACTTAAAAGAAGGACGTGTATTATAAGAACAACAGATTCAGAGCCGTGATTAAGTCAAAACTGTGCAAAAAGGATGTATGTTTTGTGTTTAATCTTAAATTAACAAAACTTTGTAAACATCTTCTACCCAAAACTCAAGTGGCTTCACCAAGTTCAACTCTGATCAAAATCTATCACCTTTTCCTATCCAATTATTAATCAGTTCATCAAAAGAAATAGTCAACAGATCAGCCCTTCGTTATATTGATGCCGAGTCAAGTGGAAAGCCTTAGATTCTCACATTGTGTATTTTTATTACTTCAGAAGCTAAAAATGATCAACTAAAGGAATGCCATCGTGTTATTGCATTTCAGGTAATTAATGCTTATTTTATTATTTAAAAAAGGAATTGCATTTTTCCAAGTTTATTTCTAATATTGTACTAAAAAGACTGAAATGAAAAATCTGCAGAAAGGGCCAATTTTTTTCAAGTTAATAAATATAACTG